AGAGAGAGAGAGAGAGAGAGAGAGAGAGAGAGAGAGAGAGAGAGAGAGAGAGAGAGAGAGAGAGAGGCGTGGAAGAAGGGGAGAAACGTTCACCTTCGGCAACGTACTCAGAGGACGTCGAAGGCGGCGGCAGGTTGCAATAGCGGAAGAATTCACTCCATGGTGTATTGGAGCAGTGGACAGAACGTGGAGTGGAGCGCTGTTTTTTTGCGCGGTGGCTTGGAAAAAGCAAGGAGTTTGAATTCGAATGCCAACTCGAATGGGCCTCCCGGCTGGAGGGCATCCCAGGAAGATGCATCCATCGCAAAAGGGCAAATCGGACAGCCACCACGGGAAATGGGACCGGCGGTCCGGTAGGGGCATTCCGAAAAGTTGCGCCCCTCGCTGACAGGGGCCTGCTGGGAAGTTCAGAGGCCCCAGGGGCAAATCAGGGTAAGTCGGCCGTCGGAGGGGCAAAACGCAAATAAACGCAAAATTCAGGGGCATTTCGAAAATTTTCCCTTTATTATAAAACCAGGAAACGGGCCCGGCGTCCCTCACATGAATTCTGTAGCCAATCCAGGCTGGGAGAGGCACTTCCGGCCAGTCCCTTCCCCAACCACGGACCTCCCACAGTGAAGACGCCTGTCTTCAGCCCATCCCGTGCAGATCTCTAGTCACAAACCCTAGTCTATGTTAATACTCTGAATTTACTCCTATTCCAATGTATCTATTAATTCTATATTATCAAAAACAATCACACAAATTTCTAACCTATTCCCTGATACAATTACCGTAATAATCCCTAACCCTAAATTATTTACAAAACAGAAACTGTAATCATGACTAATACTCAACACAAAATGAATTCCCAATTAAGGACTAATTCACCAAAACCTTCAAAAACGTCAAGAAGTGTAAATCACCTAAAAATTAAAGCCAATTTCGAGCAAAGCAAATTTCCAATAAGCCGAATGTCCCACTTTCTCCGATCCAACAGCCAAAGGGAATTTCAGTCTAAAGACAACAGAGGGAGGCAAACCTACTGTGGGCTGCAGCAGAAGAAGAGTGTCCAAAATGACATGATTGATGGGGGGCAACATCAAGCCTATCATTCTGGATAGTGTCCAGGATATCATCCGATTATATATGGCAGGTCCATCCGTAACCCTAAAACAAAAAAACGGTGAAGAAGTGTAAATCACCTCAAGAAATTATACCCATTTTTGAACAAAGCAGATTTCCAATAAGCCCAATGTCCCAGTCTCTCCAATCAATCGGCAGAAGTAGATTGTCCTAAATGACATACTTGATGGGGGGCAACATCAAGCCTGTCATTCTGGATAATCTCCAGGATTCCAATAATTTGCTTTTCGTGGCATACAGTCATCTGCAATCAAGCCAATGGCTGACAAAATTATCATAATCGAGTACAATCTGCCGTCTATCACCTTTACAACGCACAACGCAAAGCATCACGCAAATTCCTGACTTATTCCCTGATACAACTACTGTAATCATCCTAACTCTAAGTTATCTACATAACAGAAACCGTAATCATAACTAATACTCAACACAAAATGAATTAACAAAAACCTAAAAAACGTCAAGAAGTGTAAATCACCTCAAAAAGTTAAACCCAATTTCGAGCAAAGCAGATTTCCAATAAGCCAGATGTCCCACTTCCTTCTATCCAACAGCCAAAGGGAATTTCAGTCAAAAGACGACAGAGGGAGGCAAGCCTACTGTGGGCTGCATCAGAAGAAGAGTGTCCAAAAATTCCCTAAAATCACATGATTGATGGGGGACAACATCAAGCCTGTCATTCTGGCTGATCTCCAGGATATCATCCGATTATAAATGGCAGGTCCATCCCTAACCTTAAACTAAAAAACGTCCAAAAGTGTAAATCACTTAAAAAAAATTAAACCCAATTTCTCTGATGGCACAACTGTGTGCACGTGGCGGATTATGGAGTGGCAGTCGTAGCAGATCAATCATGAGGTGGAGAGCAAAAGATTCCACTTGGTGGCACAACAGTACTCCTCACCTTCGTGCAGTAACAGAAAACACGTGGCACTGGCAGCCTATAGAGCATTACACATGGAAAGTCGATCCCAAAGAGCAGATCGCAAGCTAACCACGAAGAACAGATGATTGCACACAATGGCACGACAATATTCCTGCTACTCTCGTCCATCATCGACCGTAGGAAAAGGCACTAGCAAATCCAGCACTTCAACCAATCAACGCCACACAGACACGACAAACACCACTTTATGCTCGCAGGTAACAGCTGCATCCTCATACTCAAAGGAGACACACACTCCAAAGAAAGCACGCCAGCATGATAAACGCCATGTCTGACCCTTGATAACTCCCAGATCCTCTGCAATTGTCCACTTCAAAATCTCCAGGCACAAGAAGCTAATACATCAGCAAATCAAGGCCACACAAGCATGATGTATATCTTCTTCATAAAACCGTCTCCTGGGCAATCAACAGCAAACCACTCTTGACCTTGACGGAGTGAACATCTTTCCACCAACAGCAGCACCAGACCAATGCTAACACAGCAGCGATGTATACATGGAGCCTCCGTATCTGTGACCAAGGCGAAAGCCCCGACCTGTTCATAATACTGATATGGGGGGCATCATCCAGATCTCACCCATGCCTGCCAACCTGGCAAGGGGGAGGGACCATGAGAGAGACAAGACGAAGCTATTCGGTCGCAGGGGAGTTACCCTCCCCACAATACTCCCGGCGTCCGTAATTAAAAAATTCAGAGCCGGTGAAACCACAGTGCGATGCAAGCGCAGCAGCGCCGCCCGTCCACCTCATGGCTGGATTATTAGCGTGGCCCCTGCGCAAGGATGACACGCATAAATCGAGAAATGGCACCTGGATGCATCTGGCCACAGTTCCGTCCCGAAATAAGTACAAACGTCCTCGTGTGAGTATGCCCTATAAATCGGACGTTCGAGAGCAGAAGACCATGCTACGGGTTCACCTTGTTGGGGAGCGGAGGTCCCTGCTACGGGGGGTTCAAGGGCGGAAGACCGTGCGGTCATTCCGCCAGGTCCCGCCATCGCTGATGATTTTGTCGGTCGAAAATAGAGAGACACAGCTGCACCAGCGAGTGCGGCGAAGGTCAGACAGTCTGCCACGACCAATCCGACAATCAGGCCGACACTAACACGTTTCTTGGGTTGGGTTTGGGGAGTTGCAGGCGCAGGAGTCGAGACAATGTCAGAAAACCGACCAAGGAAGATTGTTTCATTGCCAGTATGTGCTGCCGAGCCTGATGACCCCGCTGATGGCGATCGCTGAGTCTCTGTGTCTCCCTCTGCAGGTAGATCAGTGGGCGGTTCTGGCAATGGCGATGACCGCTGTGCAGATGACGATGACGATGATGATGATTCTGTTGATGGGGACGGGGAAGATTCGGTAAATTGTGATGCGGATAGCGATGGCGATGGCGATGGATGGGCTGAGCTCCCGTCTGTCGGTGCTGATGGCGGCGATGATGAAGATGCGGTCGATGTTGCTGACGACGATGGCGACGGGGAAGATTGTGTAGACTGTGCTGCGGATGACGATGGCGATGGCGATGGATGGGCATCATGGGCTGAGCTCCCCTGTGTCGGTGTTACTGGCGTTGGAAATGCACCGATGCATCGGTGCAGTCCCAGCTTGTTGATTGGCAATTCGAACAGCTCCCCCGTCTGGATCGACACGTACAAATGGCTGTCATCGTTATCCAACGCAAGCGTCCCGATCGTGCATCCTCCCGGGACAATGCATCTGGCCACCGTCTCTTCTCTAACCACGATGCCTCCCGGTTTATCGAAAGTCACCCACCCGATCGTGCATCCTCCCGGGACAATGCATCTGGCCACCGTCTCTTCTCTAACCACGATGCCTCCCGGTTTATCGAAAGTCACCCACCGGACATTCGTCGCCCCATATGCGACGAAGAACAGGTTGCATCCTGTCTCTTATACACATCTAGATGTGTATAAGAGACAGGTACCCGGGACAATGCATCTGGCCACCGTCTCTTCTCTAACCACGATGCCTCCCGGTTTATCGAAAGTCACCCACCCGATCGTGCATCCTCCCGGGACAATGCATCTGGCCACCGTCTCTTCTCTAACCACGATGCCTCCCGGTTTATCGAAAGTCACCCACCGGACATTCGTCGCCCCATATGCGACGAAGAACAGGTTGCATCCATCTTGTGTCAGCGCAAGCTCCCTCAAATTAAATATCCCCACCCGGTTATGGTTGTCAGCTACATAGTAAGGTATCCTGGTTCCACTGACCACCTCCATGGTCCCAGTAATTAGGTCGAAGCCTAGAATTCTAGCGTTAGGTCGGTCAATAGAGTAGAGGTAAGACCCGTCTTGGAGAAAACTGCGATAACCGAAGGCAAGCGAAGGAGGATTACCAGAAATAGGCTGACTAGGGCATGCTACAGTTTGAAAGTTATTGACAAAGCTGCCCGGCGACTCGCCGTCCATGGCAGAGCGCTCAAGGCAGCCCCCTGTCGCGACGTACAAGATCGTGCCGTTAGGATTGAGGGCTCCGAACATACAGTTGAAATCGGCAATCATAAAAGTGGTTCTAGAACCGTCCATCGTGTTGACGAATCCCAGACCCCAATCAACGGGCGCAACGAGATACTGCTCATTCCGCGACAGATCGAACCCCCAGTAGTTAGCAATGGCGCCCCATGCCAGGCTCGTGGAAGCACTATCCGCAGTGCCGTTGAGACCTCCCGACGACCAGTAGAGAGTGAGCACGGAGGACTTGCCTTGCGCGTCCCCAGAGGTGGCAATGCCACGCAAATCGCCCTTGCACAGATAGCGACTTCCTCTGACGTAGCTGTTTGTAGTCGTATCCCAGCAGCTATCATCCTGCATGAAGAAGAACAGCCCCTTCTCCGAGCTGAAAACGACGCTCCTGACCCATGTAAAACACTCAATCGTTCCCGACGAAGGACCGGCGGCATTTGTAACGGTCAGAACCACGCGGGTACCTTGAAGAAGAGTCCTGTTTGTGATGAGAATAGCAGCCGAGGGGTCTGGATCTGCCTGAATCCTCCTCCCTCCTCGCATCTCGTCAATGTCCTGATGTCCGCTCTCCGTTCCCACAACGGACTCCCTCCCTCTCCGAGCTGTGGACATCCCATCTGCTCCAGCTACCGCTACCACCCGTGTCGGGATGACTGCCATCATCATTATCACCATCGTCAGCGTCAGCATAGCCATCGCGCTCGAGACACTAAGCCGCAGAACTCGTTGCAAGAGGATGGGAAGATAGGATGAAGAGAACGGTCGATGGCTGCAGAGCCGAACACCCATCGTTATTGATATCCCTACGTTTTGTCGATATTGACATCCCCACGACGAAAACGAGAGACCTGCACTTGGGACGATGTCTGAAACAACTGGTCCTACCAGATTACAACCGGACACGGGGAGACATATACGCTCGGACAGAAGCCCTGGCAGTAAGACGGAGAAAGTCGGCCAGATTGACCCCGAAAAGATTTGAAAAGCAAGATAAGAGATGAGATTCTGCCTTAGCAACGCGACCACTCTCCATCCGCTCGTTATGTATCGGAATTCATCGGCAGGTGGAGCGCGAAGTAACCGCCCGGGAAAGCAGAGGACGGAAGAGAGGGAATGGCCGAAGCGAAGGCGAGGCACACACAAACAAACGAGCGCGTCGGGGCGCATACCCAAGCGCGCATTACACATTCACATCCTGTTGGTTGCTGAAGACCTCTGAAGCGGGCACGGCGGGTGACAGACGCCGCAGCCCCTGGCTTCAGCGAACGAGCAGGCGCCCCTCACCGGGTTTCCCCATAACGCGTTGCTGCTGACGTGGCTGCTGCCACTTGTTCTATCTTCTGACGTGGCTGCGCTATGTGACCGGCACTGCTGTTTTGATTCATCGTCACTCGGGAGGAGATCATGACTATGGGATGATCATGGACACGTACCTGGTTATCTTGAGGTCGATATTGCTCCAATACGCTTATGAGGGTCTGATCGCCGTGCCACGTGGCACACTGGAATAGAACTTTAGATGTGTGTTCAAACTATTGATTATCTGAGGTGGCGATCGAGGAGGAAACCCGAAGCAGGAGTGAACCTTGTTCTTTATTCCTCTCCTTTGTCTAATCTCCCTCCTCTCTCCTTCGTCTGTGTATGATTATTCCATCTCATTCTATCTGGACACATTATGATTATTTATAATCATCAGCGGGTTGACATTCATCTGGACTTGCATTGTTGACAAGTGTCTTCACGATCTGGGTTCATTGCACAGTTATGAAAGACAAACAAAAAAGCGAAAAGTCATAAAACCTCCCCACGAGGAACCCTTTGTATCCATTTCTCCCCCCTTACGAGGAGAAAGGTGTCGCAGCCCCCAAAATCACTTTACGTGTCATCTTTGCACCCTGCAAAACACATTCCCGCCATTTTTACACAGCGGCCGTTACCGTCCAGCCAGGTGCAAAAATGACACCAAAAGTGATTTTGGGACCTGCGACACTTTTTTCCCCGTTTGGGGGCACATGGACACAAAGGTTTATTTTCCCAACAAAAAATCCATTATTTTCTTCTTTCTTTCTCTGCGAGGATCTGGGTCCTCGGCAGGCCTATGGGGCCCTGTTTGCAGCATTACCCGCCCTAAGTAAAGGCGGGCCTGGCTTTTTGCAAGAGGCCCCGACTGTCAATTTCATATTTGGGGCCCAGGCAGTTGCGACGTGCCAGTTGGTTGATAGAAACACAGGCTGAGCAACAAAGACATTTCCACGGCCCTCCGGGCCTTTCCAAAGAATACAGGCCCTGGGCGTGATTCGCAGCCTCATACAGAGACAGTTGGGCGCCCAACCGAACGAGGTCCAGCAGCCAAGTAGCTGCTGTACACAGGCAGCCTCCTGGGGCCTTCCGGAAGCTTGTGGGCCCAGGCCAGTGCAGCCAGGCTGCGCGAGTAGGCCAGCTCTTTCCATAAAGGAAAGAGCTCACTCCAGGCAGCCTCATTCAGGCACTCGCATGCTAGCCGCAGCGCTGCTGGAGCAAAGGCTCACGGCTGCTGGCTGGCGCTGGAAGGCGAGGTGCAGCACGTGCCGTCGTGCAGGGAAGAAGGGCGCTGCTGAGGGCAGCGCCATAGCCCATCCGCCATAGCTGGTGGGCTTGGACTACAGTGAGGCGCAGGGGTGGTCTTCGGGTGAAACAGAGGACAGACGTGGGTGTAGTCAGGGGATAGGTGAAGGATGATGATGATGATGATGATGTAAGGGCACTTACCTTGCATTGGCGATGGTCTGCATGGGCGACATCTTCAAGTACTTCGGGCTGCCGCTGATGTCAACAGTTGCATTGTCATTTCGTAGTCTATAGTAGCTGTGTAGGAGTAGGCTGGGCGCTGAGCGCCAAGTGTGAGTGTGAAGGAACTGGACTCTTGTGTTGAGAGGAGAGAGTATGCTCGCCATGAACATTGGTTTTCAGTGCTACGAACCTCCATTGGTGTATTATTGGTGCAATGCAGCTCTCTGGACACGGTGTGACTATTTGGCTTTCAATGTGATGGTGTGATCTGGAATTGTCATCTCGCTATTGCTTATTTTCCTTGCATCTCTTTTTTCTTACTTCTTATTCTTTTCCTTGATTTACGCCTGCCATCCTTCTGCAGGGTCATGCTAACTTTCTTTCTCTGTCCTTTCGACTCTCTCTCTCTCTCTCTCTCTCTCTCTCTCTCTCTCTCTCTCTCTCTCTCTCTCTCTCNTCTCTCTCTCTCTCTCTCTCTCTCTCTCTCTCTCTCTCTCTGTGTGTGTGTGTGTGTGTGTGTGTGTGTGTGTGTGTGTGTGTGTGTGCGCGCGCACACGACAGGTTAAGAGTTCAAATCATGCTGGGAACAACGATTTGACTGGGGCGTGCTTTTAGCAAGACCCATAAGGTAGCAAGCAAGTACAAAGCTGCTCCATGATAGCAAAACTAGCGGTTGGCATAGGTCGTGAGTTCTAATGACGCTGCGAACAGCTGAGAACAATAATGTAAATGTGTCCGAATCACTTGCACGACAGTGCTGGCCAGAAAGAATTCCAGAAAAAGAAAAAAAAACTATGAACTGACAACTCGCGTCCGGCATCGGTCACGAGTTCAGATCATGCTCCGGTCAAATGAAATTCAATACAATAATGTGAGCCGCTCAGTCTCATCTTTGCGGCAGTGGTGGAAAGTCGGAATTCAAGATGCAATGAAGAACAATTCGGACCTGCTGATTGAAAAAGGAAACGAAAGAAGCGAAAAAGAGACAGCACTCTTTCCTTTCTCCCCATCATYAACACTTCATTTCCAACGACCCAGCCCCCTCGGCCGAATACAAGGAAAAGCAATCAAGAGGAAGCAGGGAGCATATGCGTCTGACCACAGAGCTCGTGGAAGCAAAAAATGGAGAAGGCAACAAGATACTCCGCGTCGGGGGCAAAGATTCCAGTGGTGTCGCCATTCATACGCGATTTGTGGAAAAGGAAAAAAGAGGCAAAGAAGTAGGAACAGAAATATTACAAACACGAAAAAAAAATTAAAAAAAAAAAAATCACAAACGCCATTCATACTCCTTTTTTCTCATTTTTGGGTACATTATGTCCTCCACAGAAGCACGAGTCAGAGATGAGCACACACTGTGAGGCCTCACTCCTGTGGAGGAGGTAATGTGCCAAGAAAGAGAAAACAGGAGTGTTCGGCGAACATTCCAGCATCGCCCTTCCGTACAAAAACAAAAAGCACTCAGAAAAAAAAAAAAAAAAAAAAAAAAAAAAAAAAGACAGACATCCAAGGATGGCCGAAACAGCAACTGCAAGCACGGCAACCGTAAAACCGTCTCTCTCAGCTTCCTCAAAAGGAAAGATCTTCCTCACAGCTTCTTATGAACAGGAGAAAGAATCTGATCCTAAAACCAGAATAAGCGGCTGCCTCCACTACTCTCCAAATGCGCAAAATGACAATGAATCTTCCGCTAGAACATGGAAGTATACGCAGCCATATTTTTTGTCTTTTGTGCATGTGGAGAGTAGTGGAGCAAGGCTGTAAGTTAACTACCTCCAGTAAAACCTCGACTGGCCTCCACTGTGCAACACTTCTTTTAACAAATTAATAACACCGTCGAAATCCATAACACCACGTGCCACAAGAATAATAAATGGTTAGCAGTCCACCTCTTACCCCCGAACACAACCCACCCTCATAATGCCATGCATAGGACGGGAAAGAAGGATTGCTCGTCATCATCACCATGAGCAGGGTGCGTTGTGCAAGCCTTAGGGGGGAAGACAGCAGGTATAGCAAATACCATGGGCGCTTTCCACCAGTTATCCCAATCGGGATCCCGTCCCTTCTTCATATTGGAGGGAGTGCATACCCCCAATTCCCGCTGGCGCCTGTCTAAGGAAACTGGCCGAAAGGTCCAATCTTTTTTTCTTTTCTTTTTCTTTTTTTTTGTAAAAAAAAGGTAAGACGCAGTCCGCAATTCAAACACAGAATGAGCCACTGCGCCCATCGCGACTACACCCACCCGTTAGGGGAATGCCCTCCCACAAGCTTCTTCGTGCAAGACTTCCGCAATGCCATTTCAACCCTCAGCCTCCTCGAAAGACTGAAAAGTAGAACTCTGAAGAAGCGAAGCCGGGAAACTTCGGGAAAGATTTTAATAAACAGATTATTATTAATGTTATTATTATTATTATAGGAAAGAGATAAGTAACAAACGCGGGTAAAGAGCGAGCTACAGCTGTCGCTCCCCAGCAATATACGAAGAAGCCACAGCGGAAAAAGAAGGAAGCAGACAATGAACTCCGGCTGCTGGGTAACCGACCATGGAGTGGAGTGGCCTGCTGCTCGAACTCGGAGATTAACGAGTAATGAATGTGCAATTGTCGTGAAAAAAAAAAAAAAAAAAAAAAAAAACTCGGAGATTGCACCCAAAAATAAATACTTCAAAAAATAAAGAAGACGAACAGAGCTGGAGACTTACATCGGGCGTTCGAGAGCAGAAGACTGTGCTACCGGGAGCTCAAGAGATGACGACTTCGCTACCGGTCGGTCGAGAGCATAAGCCCGGGCACTCATATCCCCAGATGCAGCCCTCGCCGATTCTCTGGTACGAGAATAGAGGAGGACCGCAGTGCCACCCAGAGTCAAGGATATCAGACAAACTGCCACAACCACGCCAGCCATCACGCTGATGCTAACACCTCTCCTCGGTGGCGTTTGGACAGTCACAGGTGGTGGAGACGTTGACAGCGCGTCAGACGACCTAGGACCGACACGTGTATTATTGCCATAATTGTGTAGCGGCGAAGACGACGAACCCATTGCTGGAGATGGATGTATCTCCTGAGATCCATCAGTTGATGGTTCTGACGAAGATGGCGATGGTGAAGATTCTGTCGACGGTTCTGATGATGATGGCGATGGAGTGACTCCCGTTGATGGATCTGACGAAGATGGCGATGGAGAAGCTTCTGATGATGACATTGGCGATGAAGACGCATAGGCTGCCGGTGCTGAGAGCGCACCGATGCATCGGTGCAGTCCTGACTTGTTGATTTGCAATTCGAACAGCCGCCCGGTGTGGATCGACACGTACAAATGACTGTCGTCGTTGTCCAAAGCGAGCGTCCCGATGACGCATCCTCCCGGAACTATGCAACTTGCCACTCTCTCCACCGAAGTCACCTCTCCTCTCGGTTTGGTGAAACCCACCCGCATGATCTCCGTCCCCCCATCTTCGACGAAGAACAGATTGCACCCATCTTGGGTCACCACGAGCTCCCTCAAGTTATATATATCAAGGTGGTCGCTCGGTATGGCTCTGAATCTATTAACGTACCCTATCTCGGTCCCAGTTCCGCGGTCAATGATTCCACTAAGTAGGTTAAAACCTAAAATTTTTGCGTTAGAGTCGTCCCTAGCGTATAGGTAGCTCCCATCTTGGAGAAAGCTCCGATGACCGAAGGAGAGGGATGAGAGCTTGGTGTCTGTAGGGCATGCTAGTGGCTTGAAATTGTCGACAAAGCTTTCCGGCGACTCGCCATCCATGACGGAGTACACAAGGCAGCCACGATTTCCCACGTACAGAATCGTGCGGTTAGGATTGAATGCACCGAACGTGCATCCAAAGTCGGCGATCGGAAAAGTAGTCCTGGAACCATCCATCGTGTTCACGAACGCCAGACCCCAAATCACGGGCGCCACCAGATGCCCCTCGCTCCGCGATAGATCGAAACCCCAGAAATCAGCATATGATCCCTTCCCCAGGCTGTCGGCAGCAATAGCCGCAGTGGCGTTCAGACTTGCCTGTGACCATTGCAGAGTCACCACGGAGGAGTTGCCTTGCGCGTCTCCAGAGCTAGCAATGCCGCGCAAATCGCCCTTGCGCAGAGACCGACCTCCTCGGACATACGCACCTGAAGTGGTATTCCAGCAGCTATCGTGGTGCACGTAGAAGAACACGCCCCTCTCGGAGGTAAATACGACATCCCGGACCCATATGAAACACTCTCGGGTACCATATGCAGCGTATGCGGGGTTAGTAGCGGTAAAAACGACGCGGGAACCCTGAAAATCACGACTCAGGAAGTAAAAAAGCAGGCGGGGGAACCATCTGCAGCCTTCTCTGTCCTCGCCTGTCTTCCATGTCGATGTGTGCGCTCTTCTTTGCCGTAACGGACTCCCTCCCTCTCTCCGTTGTCAAGCTCCCATCTGCTCCGACCGCCGCTAGCACCCGTAACGGCATGGCCATCATCGTCATCATCACCATCGTCATCGCAGTCACAGTCAGCCTTGTCATCGAGATCCGGACGTGAAGCCACAGGGGATTGCGAGCTCCGACTATGGAGGCACCCGGATCGGCCAGCGATAACGATCCACAAGGGCAGAGCTCAAGGCCCTTCGACAATAGGACGATGGAGAAGAGGCACGTGGACTTCGAAAGAAGATGTGTGAATGAACGGCCGTGACGCAGTATCTCCAGTACGTCGTCCACTCCCAGAGAAAGAAATAGGAACAAAAAAAAAAAAGGGAAAAGTCATAAAACCTCCCCGCGACGAAACCTTTGTCCGCCGAAACAGTCCAGCAGAAACATGCTTTTTCCCGGTGCGAGTTGTCTGTAGCGAAAGTGACAACACAGCGAATGGGGAGGGTGAGGGTTGGAGGGGAGGGAGTGGGGCGGGGATGCGGGTGGGGAGTGAGAGGTGGCGCGCGCGCGCGCGAGAGAGAGAGAGAGAGAGAGAGAGTCTGTGATGCAGTGATCGAGGAAGCACAATCAGTTTAGGGCCACGACTCCCCCGCTTAGTCAGCGTCCGTAGACCATCTTCAATCACTCTACCACGTGGTACTTACTTCCCGTCCGTTTTTCGACCCCGCACGCGTACATCACCTTTCGGCCTTCCACCTATGGCAGTAGTATTTCGGCAGCGGAGTTGGAGAGGGTGTGATGCGCCCGGCAACTACCGCGCACCTATGGCATGAGAAGCAGAACATGTCGCAGCTGATGGTCGAGCCTCTCAACGCAGTCTTTCCCTTCGAGCGTCTTCTTGCTCTCTTTTCTTTTCCAGTGATATCAAGGGCGGCGACAATGAGGTGCCATCATCGCCTACTCCTCGAACCGACCAGGCCCAGGCTATAAAAACAGTGATTTCTTTCATCTGATCACAGGGATATTCTGACCAAATAGGGATAACTGGTAGAAAGCGCCCACGCCAGAACCTTTTCTGTTTTGGGCGCACAAAATTGGGCGGTCTGGTACTACGGGCCCAAAGTTTTCCATGTGGCGTACTACAGGCCCACGCGTGGCAACAAAGCAAGATTCATTTTGATGTAGAAGAGGGTGGTACTGCCCAAGGATAGAAAGAAGGGCCCTACCCGCTCATGAATCTGGCTCAAAAACAGCACCAAATTCATGAACTGGTAAAAATAGGCCAAGGGAGCCGTGGCTACGACATGAAGGGGCCTTTCACCCAGGCTGAAGAGACATTTGAGCCGGTAGTACCAAACGGCCAAACTTTGGGCGGGACATTTGGGCCGGTAGTACCAAACGGCCAAACTTTGGGCACCCAAAACTAATCGAGATAGACCTGAAGTGGACCTGGGACAGCGAGCACCACGCTGAGAGCGAAGACGTAGAGTTACTCATCATTCAAGCTTGGAGAACGGAGGTAGAGGGAGATCTGTTGGGATTCGTCTTCGGATCGGTAGAGGCGGGACATCGACAGCCCATCGTAGAGGAGCTCCTAATCCTCCTGACGCAACTATTGGACGATCTACCGATCAGCGTCATCTCGCACTGCGACGAGAGTCCGGTGCCGCATATTCTTTCACGCAGCCTGACACCGTACCTTCAGTGGTCGGCATGCTTAGAAGGTAATTGGGACAACCGTAATTACCCGTCTCACGGTAATTACCTTAACCCCGCGGAGATAATCGATATTGTCTTCCTTAATCGAGGTGAGCCGACGTCGGAAGACAAAGAGGAAGAGGAAGAGGAGGAAGACGAATCGGAGAGTACCTCTGAGGAGGACAAATATTATAGCGAGCATAGTGAGCATGAGTCGAGGGCGATAAGCGAAAAAGAAGAAGAAGAAGACGAGGAGGAGGAGCGAGTGAGGGAGAAGAGGCGGGACAGGCGGAGACGCCGAGAGAAGACCCTGCGGAAGTGGAGAGGCGGAGGGCCGAAATAGCGGAAGGAAAGCGGCCATTACAGCAGTCGGTGGGAACCGATTTGCCAATTCCAAACGATCCGACTCGAGATCCGGAGCCGGCAACAGAGAAAGATGAGCATCGTGGTGCAGAGACTTCGGGCGCGCCGACGCGGAGGCAACGGAGCCGCTCCCCCTCCCCTTCCCCCCGTCCCTCAGTTCGAGCATATGCCGATGCGGGGCATTGGGCTACGTCCCCGATCATTATCCCGTCGTCCCCTTGATTACCTCACACTCCGGCAGATCGACACCCAACTCACATTTCCCCAAAACCCCTTCCCATCTTCCCTCGTCTGCCAATTCTACGCTACTTGCATCGCCGTCACAGTGTACCCGCATCCCACTACTCAGTGTGTCTCCCCATCTTTTTGCCTTCACATCCTTTTTTTCAGGGCCGCATGGCGGGATCACAATGTGATCGAAGTCTACTGCACGGTCATGGGAACTATTCCCGTGTGCGCAGATGACGAGCAATTTCGCGCAGCCTTGCTTCGCACCTTTTCCACTCTCTATCCCGACTATCTTGCGTCTCTCCCCCATGGCAGCCATCATTTCCCGCTCATGCACCGCACCATCCGGTACCTTGAGCTTCCCGGGGCAGTAGCAAGGATGGCAAGCTTCTTGCCCCCACTTCCAAGAGAACATCCTCCACCCCTCGCCTCCGTATTCAGACTCTCTTACCCTCCTCCCTCGGAACATTAAAAGAGGGTGCGAGGATCACGGCATGTTAGCAGGATGACTTCCACACTCTTATCCTATGGTAACGACACGTGTGATCTCCGTGAGATAAGGAGTCCTTTTTTCTTCTTCCTGGCTTTGGAGAGAGATGGGTGCAAGCGGGAACTTGCACAGGATGGAACCCCCTGGGCGTCACATATGTGACGAGCTCTTTTCTGTTAAAGCGCCATCTTCTGCGCGACCGGGATTGGGGTAGGGAGGGGGTACATAAAAAGGATCGGGGACAAATTGCATGGCAGTCCATCATTCTTGGTTTTCCGCCGTTCTCTTCTCGGTCCCTCGACAGAAGGAAGGGGGGGGTTCTGAACTTCGGGGCAGTTGGCCCGTGCCTTAGCGAGCGCAGGGGAATAACGTCTGCTATGGTTTTTTTTTTTTTCCCTCTTTTTCTTTTCTTTCTTTTTCAACAATGGTCCGTTTTTTTGGCACGGCAATCGCGCGGGGAATTCCTTTGGAATTTTGAACTGGTCCGCGCGGGTTCTCGAAATTTCTTTTTGCAATTCGGACATTAATTAGACTACGAAATTGGGTATCTCGTAATTTTTGTTTGTAACTGCACTTCGCTTCTTGCTTGCGTGCGCTTTGCTGCGCCTGGGCCTGCGCTCTGTTCCCGCCGCGCCCAAATTACGATCTCAACTGCAATCTCTTCTTACTCTCCTTGCCTACGCAGGTGTAACTGTAATCTTCCCCTTTCTTGATACGCTTTCCCGCGTCGCTGCGTGCGCTCTCCCGTTTTTATCCCATTGGCCAGGTTGGTGCATAACTGGATTGAAGCGTGGAGTGAGGCTATGTCCCCCACGCCGCGGCCCAGCCATGCAGCCGTAGGCACTTCCTCCTTCCCTTCTCCTATCCTTCTCAGGCAATCCTGGTTATTGCGCGCTGGGGCACAAGTTATAAATTTCGTGAGCGCGATTAATTGTCTCTCTAATCCACTTGGGAGTTAGCGCGGTCGAGAGGATCTGCTAACGAGCACAAAGACGGTGCGTAAAGAGTCGGGTGATCCGACGAGCTGGTGCTGAGTATGCGGGGTTGACGCATGGTCGGGAAGGACTGTGGCACACGGGCGAGTCTTGCCTACATGCTCGGGCCAAGCGGGGTGACGGCTCTATATGGTTTGGAGGTGTGGGGCGACGGACTGTCCGCACCAGAAAGGTGGAGAGAGAGAGAGAGAAAAAAAAGGGAGAGAAACGAGGATATGGTGGAATAACGTCTTTCTTCCTACCCTTCTGTGTAATTTTGATTCCAACGATTGGCCAACTTTGTTGCGACAGTTTCAGATTTTCTTTAAAAGTCATCTCGGATTGTCTGTTTTGTATGTATGTATGCATGCTGATGAATGAACTCATGCCTCCTTTTCCTGAGTTGTTTTTTATTTCCAATGTTGTTTGGTTCAGTAGCGTTAGCTTAATTCAAATTTGGTCACTTTCTAGTACCCATCTGTGTTGCGTGATACGCTCGGCGCGAATGTCTCGCCTGACCATTTGCATGCATGATTGTAGGAATCAGGGTTGTTGAGCCCCGGCCCCGGGGGCCGGGGGTCGGCACCCCTCGCCCCGACAAAAAAAATCAAAAAAAAAAAAAATCAAAAAAAAAATAAAAAATACAGGGGGGTGCCCAGCCGCAGCCTGTACCCCCGGGCCAAACTGCAATATTGCAGTTTTGGCCCGGCCTCGGGCCCCCCCCAGGGCTACACCCCACCCTTGTGAGCCCGGGGTAGTGCGGGTGCGGGTGCGGGGCCGGGGGCGGGGTGCGGGGCCGGGG